ACACACACACACACTCACACACACCACTCACACACCACTCACACACCACACATCACACACACACACACACACACACAATGCCATTGGTTCTCGGTTCTGTTTCTCTAGAAAACTCTTAACATCCACCAGATGTGGCCCTGCCCCGCCCGTCGCTCTGTCCCCAGCGCTGACGAGCAGGTTGGGGATGGGAAGTGACCCAGCTCTGCCCACACAGGGAGCAGGGACGCCCAGGCCTGGCCCTCACAACACACAGGGGACCTGTGGGGGAAAACCACGAAACCGTGATCGAAGAAACCGAGAAGAAGGAGTGGAGTCAGTGCGCGTCTGAGGCAAAAGGTTCCAGCTGTCAGGACGTCAGAGCTCCCCGCTCCGTCCAACCACTGACCCAGAGTTCCCCAAGTCGTCAGGCGGCTCTCAACAGACGGAATCCGAGGTTCACACCATGAGGGACCCAAAGGGCCAGCCCAACGCTGAGGGACGCAGAGACGGGCATTTGACACGGAGACGCACACACAGCCACGCCGTCGGAACTCTGCCATCGGCACAAGAACGGACAGTGCCACATGGACCCTCCACATGCAGTCACCTGGCACTTGACAAAGAGCAGAGTCAACACAACAGGGATGAGAGAGTCCCCAACAAGTCACACCGGAACGATTGGAAATCCACACGCAGGGCCATCGCTGCCGTCACCTGGACGCAGACCTTGCACCTGTCCAGAAATGAACTCCAATGACCCAGACCTACAGGTCACAAGGAGACCTGCAGAATTCCTAGAAGCCGACCCAGAAGAAAGTCCAGATGACTCTGGGTGGGGGACAGTGTCCGGAAAGAGGTCAAAGGCGCAAGCTGTGAAAGAAGTCATTGGGCAGCCGGGAAAGTCACTGTCAAGCGCACCTAAGACAAGCCCCAGGTGGTGCTTTGGCTGGGAAAGGACTCTCATTGGAAAGACGCAAAGAACTTGTAAAACCCAACAAGAGGGCAACAAGCCCCCCATTAAGAAGCAGCAAAAGTCCCAGACACACACGGGACCAGAGACGTCCAGGGGGCAACAAGAGGCTCCAAGGAAACCAGGTCACCGCACATTTATTAGAAAGGCCAAAATGCACACCCCGGAGACACCCTGGGCGCTGTCCAGCAGGGCACAGGGACTTCAAGACACTGTGGCCATTTCTTATAATCCCAGAGCTGCTCTGACCCTGCAATTCAGCAACTGCGAGTTGAACACTTAGAGCCACAAAAAACCTGAGCACAGGGGCTGACAGCAGCTCGTCCTAAGTCCTGAAATCGGGAAGCAAAAAGACATCGTTCTGTTGGGGACAGGGAAAGCAATCGTCGCACATTCAGGAAATGGAGCGCGGCTCAGTGCGAAGAAGGCACGGGCTCAGAGGCACGGTCCTGACAGCTGAAATACGGAAGCCACCCGGCGTCCATCGCTGGTGGATAGACAAGAAGAATGCGGTGTGCACACAACATGGAGTATTAGTCAACCCTAAAAAGGAGGGGATTCCAGAACACGCTACAACACGGGGACCTTGAGGGCGTTAGGCTAACTGAATAAGCCCATGTGAAGGAAAAAGAAAAGATAAAGAACAGAGGGTTCTCTTATCTGAGGTAGTCAAGGGGCAGGGAGGCGGAGGAGGGGAAGCGCAGAGCATGTCTGGGACAGCGGAACTGTCCTGCGTGGCACCGTGATGGTGCACACACGTCACTGAACGTTTGACAGAACCACAACCCCAAGGGAGCCTCGGTCAGCGACGCTCCTGTGACAGCGATGTGTCGGGTCATCAGTTACGGTACGTGACCCGCTGTGGCGCAGGTGTTGACCTGGAGGACACGGGGAGCCTAAAGTGCTCTAGAAGGTAAGGTGACTTATGGGGGGTACCAGGGACTGAACTCAGGGGCCCTCGACCACTGAGCCCATCCCAGCCCTGTTTTGTATTTTATTTAGAGACAGGGGCTCACTGAGTTGCTTAGGGCCTCGCTTTTTCTGAGGCTGACTTTGAACTTGCAATCCTCCTGCCTCAGCCTCCCCGGCAGCTGGGAAGACAGGTGTGCACCACCGGGCCCCACTAAGTAGCCTGATTTTTTAAAAATTCAAAAGCAGCAGAGTCCAGAGCCTAATCTCCCTCCTGGACCCCACAAGTCCCTTCTTCCCTAACGGAGGAGTTACTATTGCCCACCCCTGAGCTCAGGGACAGTGGTTCTGTCCCCTCCCTCCAGCGGCTCTGGGAGCATGGTCAATGTCAGCAGCTGACCCAGCAGAGCCCCGGCCACGGAGGCTTCTCACTTGATTTGTAAGGGTCCATTCAAATATTCCATTTTCTATTTGCCAACTAACAAAGGCGCAGCCGACTAGGGCTCAAGACCGGCAGCCAAGGCTGCTCCCCGGTGTTCAGAGCCCAGTGGCCTTGGGCCGGTCACTTTCCACCCTCCGATGCGGACATGGCATCTGGAGGTGGCGTCCGTCGTCCTCCCCTCCTCGCCACAGTTGTTCTGTGTGACTCTTCTCCAGCCGAGATTATTAAAAACGATCACGAAGCCGGCTCAGGGCAGTTCCCGCGGCTCACACGGAAGAGCGGCCACGTGGTCAGCATGCACAAGGCCTGGGTTTGGTCCCTAGCTCTGCAAACGAGGATGATGATGATGCACAACTCACAAGGAACCAACGGCCTCAACAGAAGAGTTAAATCTATAAAACTCCCAGAAGAAAACACAGGGGTAAAAATTCACGGCCTTGGATTCGGCAGTGGCTCCTGGGTGGGACCAAGAGCATGAACAACAGAGAGACCTCGTAAACTGGAGCCTGGAGTGGCTGCGCCTAGTGGGCCCCTCCGGCCACCTGCTTCCTGTCCTCAGATCTCAGGATGCTCCAGCAGCTGCCTGCGGGGAGATAAGACCCTGGGCACTTCCCTTCTGCCTGAGCTCCGGACTTGGGCATGCCTGGTGCAGAACTTGGGAAGAGTGCCACCACGGGTAGGGGACTACGCACTCAAGAGGCGCCACTGTGGGTGCAGACGGTGCCTTTTTAGGTGTCTGGGCTACTGGAGGAGCTGTGGTCACACACTGTTCCTGGCACAGGAGTTGCCCGGAGTCACTTACAACTTCTGGGAAGCCCAGGTGGCCCCACTTGGGAAGAGCACGTTGTTGCTCCCCGGGGGGTGGGGATACCATGGGAGTCAAGTGTCAGCTGTGGGGTAGAGGCCAGGAAGACTCTTCAGGCCCAAGATGGCCCTGAGCCCCAGGATGTCAGAACAGAGTTGACACAAGCCAGGTCCCTCTTGCAGCCTTTTTTAGACCCTGAACAGAGAGAGGTATGCATCCCCATGGCAACCTCCCTGTTGGTGACAAATACCCACTCTTACAATCCCCAGAGCCCGGGCCTCTTCAGGGAGGTCACCCTGGGAAGCGGCACACTGCCCCCACACGTTAAAGCAAACCCAGGGCTTCCCACGGTGGTGACCTTGCCCTCACGACCGCCTGGCGAGACACGTGCCATGCGCCCATTTCACAGATGAGAAGACCGAGGCTGGAGAAGACCACTCGCCCTAAGTCAAACAGCTACTGGGGGGCAGAGCTGGGACCTGCCTCCATCCCCTGGCTCCAAAGCCCCAGCAAGCTGCTTCATGAGCACCTTATGTTTTCCCTGTCACGAACATTTTCCTGTTTCCAGGTTAACCAGAGAGGTGGGCTAAGGCATGAGGCTCCCTGGCCCCCCTCAAGGTAAACTGAGAGCAACACACCCACCCCCACCTGTCCCCCCACCCCCCCGCTGCTTTCTCTGTGTTTAAAGAGATCCTTTCCCCATGGAGAAGCCACCCAGGGGAAACGGCCAGCAGGCACCTTCTGATGGACAGAGCCAGGCAGGACTCGGCCCATGATAAGGCCTCTGCTTCCCGCAGCCTCTGCCAGGAGGCCTGCAGTTAAGATTCCGGCTCCTCGGGGCCACAGGACACAGAGGCTGTGGGGCACGGACAGCCACACAGGCCGCCGTCCGTCCGCTGGAGCCTCAGCCTGGCCCTGCTTTGCCGGCCACCTGCCTGGACTGCGGTGGCTCCAAAGGGAGAGGAGGGGAACAGCCCGGGCGCCGCCGGCTCTCTCCACGGCAGGCAACCGGCTCTCCTGGAGCTGCCAACGGCCTCCCCTATCTGCAGCCTCCCTCCGCGTCCTCCTCTCTCCCACACCCCCGCCACCTCCTCCTGGTCAGCTCTGGTCCGGAACCTCAGAAATGGAGGACGTGAGGGGGAAACAGTCACATCCCGGCCACCGCATTTCACAGGGAGAAGACAGATGGCTCCTAGGACACACTGTGGCCGAGGCCGGCCAGAGGCTGGACACCTGGTTCCTCACTCAGGACCCTCCCGTGAGGCCACGCAGCTCATCGCCAGTCCTGGGGCCATGGGCAGCCGGAGCCTCGGGAGAGAGCAGGGCTTTCCCGTTCCCAGCCGCGTCCCAGAATCTGGTGACCATCCTGGTCCTTGTGCGTGTAAACCCGATCAGGGGGCCCTGGGCGGGGCAGTAGGCACCATCCTAAGGAGGTTTCCTTCTCTGACCCAGGACTGGGTGGGCGTGGAAGGGGGAGGGGAGGAGAGGGAGCTGCCCTGGACACAGCTCCTGGATCCACATCCTGGATCAGCTCTTGGCCCTTTGCCCCTTCCCTAAGTTGACATCTAGGGATGGGACAAGGAGTGAGGCAGCCCAGGTTCAGAAATGATGGGTTTGCCGAGCAGGAAGAGGACAGAGGATTGGACCCGTTATTTATTTATTTATTTGGTCACTGGGGATTGAACCCACTGAGCTACATCGTCAACCCTTTTATTTTATTTTATTTTTTTTTATTTTGAGACAGGGCCTCTATAAGTTGCCCAGGCTGGCCTCCAACTTGCAGTCCTCCTACCTCAGCCTCCCGAGCAGCTGAGATTACAGGCCCACAGCACTCTGAGATGAGACGGTTTTGTTTGTATAACCAAGATGCCGACCTCGGTGTTTTTAGATCCTACCTCTTCCGACTGGCCTCTTTCCCTTTCGGTCCACAGGTGACAAGATCCCCTAGAGGTCTCCTTCTGCTGGTGGCTTCAGGATAAACTCCTGAGGGAGAAGAGAGAGAAAGGCAGGATCTGTGAGGCTTGTGGCTTTTGCACCATTTCTGCTCAGCTGTGCTCCCACTCCCCAGGGCCCCTGCTCCCATTCTCTGAGGTGCAGAAAGCAGACCGGGACTCGGAAGCCAGACCTCAGTACCCAGCCCCACCACGGCTTCCAGGGATGTCGCCAGGGCCCATGGATTGGGGTACATTTCCAGTCCTCCCAGGGGAGCCCACAGCATCCAGGATGACAGTGGACATCACCCGTCCCCTGCGTCCCTTTGCCTCTAGCTAGAACACCAACACCCTGGTGTGGGAACTCCAGTTCCTCAGGCTGAAACTGGGCTCTCTGAGTCGTGAAAACCACAGAGCACCCGTCGGCGCCTAATGAATGCCGCTCTCCCTGTTCGAGGGAGAAGCCATGGGAGCAAAGGTCTTGGGTGGTAAAGAAGAACTCAGCCCCAGACGGAGTCCTCTGTCTCTTTGAGGGGAAGTTCCCAGGTGGCAGGGGAAAGATCCAGTTCACGGTGACAGGGACGCACAGCTGCCCGCTGAGGCTCAGGCCAGCAGCCGGGACCAGCAGGATCTCAGACAGCCAAGAAAGCAACAGGCAGCCCACAGCCAGGCCCTCCCGGCCCAGGTCCTTCGGCAGCGAGGATGACTGCGCAAGGCCAAAGGAGGAGTCCCGGGTCAAGTTCTCGTCGCCTTGATGATAAGGTCGAGAACCCGAGAAAGACCCTCCGCCTTAGGGAAGAGGATGGGAGCTCGGAGGGGGTGGTAACGTGGCCCGGGCGCCAGCCACTGCCAGCCAACCTGCCGCAGGGCCACCCCTGCAGTGGGGTCCCTGACATCCACGTGCCCCCACAGGAAGGTCCTCAGAACGGTCAACAGTGGGGAAGCAGGGCTGGGCCAGAGGGCAGGGCACGGTTTCATTTGTGCCTCAGTGGCCCATCCAGGCTGCGTCAGCCACCCCCTCACACACACATGTGCGCACACACGTCATTCTCACATTACCCACCCACCCTATTTAGCAGAATGTCCTTTGGAATGGGACTTTGCAGACTTTCCCACCCAATCACATCCGTGTGCGCATGCGCCTACGTGGGCCTGGCCCGCAGAGGCGTGGCTTTCCACCTCGGATCTGAGCCCACTCGTTCCACGTGCCACACGTCGGTGGTGATGAGACTTGGGCACCCGGGAGTGGAAACCTTCCCACGTCCCTGAGTCTTTCCCATAGCGGCAACGATCCCACCGCGGGTGTGGACCAAATCTATTGACCGTTCATTTGTCACAGTGCTACGTGGGGTGTGTCCATTCCGGGCCACTGGGACCTGGCTGCCACCACCGGGTGCCCACGTCTGCACACCTCATTTGGATAGATGCCACACGTGGCTTCCTCAAATGCTGGATGGATTCACAGCAAATCACGGGGCATAGAGCCTCTGGGCTGGGTGGTGAGTTTGAACCCCGGGCTCTGCCTACAGAAGGGCTTTCCTGGTCACTTCCCTGCTGCGTGGCGGTGGATGACAAAGGGGGGGTCTGTCCCTTGGCTTGTGCAGATGTCCACTGCTCTGCTGCCCAGGGCATCTCAGAGGCACTCAGGCCCTCCTGAGCTGGGAACTGCATTTACTGGCTCAGAACTGATAATCAGCTTTTATGAGCTCCGGGGACCGCGCGGGACGCGTATTAATGTCAAGCATGCCCGTCAGCCACGCAGCCTGGGCGAATGTCACACATTAACGAAATTAAAGGCCGCAGCCACGCTGGGAAGGAGCTGGGGGCTGCATGTCAGGAGGTGTGGGCAAGACCCGTCGCTAACAAAATTACTTTTCAGGTCTGGCGCTCCCAGCCTCCTGCTCTCTCTGGGTTCGGGTGGAATCCTGCCTCCCCGCAGCCGCAGCCGAGAGGGGATTAGGTGATTACCAGGCTGCCAGGAGGCGAGACCCAGCGCTAATCCTGATTCCCATTTAAGCACATCTACATTGTGTGAGTGAAGCCAGGGCCTGGGCATTTCTTCCCCTTTTCCTGAGATCTCGTTCCAGCCCCTCCGCCCCGCCTCGTGGAGGAGGATGGGGTGCTGGCTGCTCCATCCCAGGTCCCGCCCAGGGGGAGGGGGGGGTGGGGGATTTAGGACCCAGAGGGGAGATGGGTGCTGGGTGACCAGAGGCCCTGTGGAAAGACCGAGGGCCAGGGGAAGTTTTCACCTAGGAAATTGGGTCCCAGCCCCGATAACTCACTGATCAGAGGGTCATATAGGGAAAGTGACAGAGCAGGGCAGTGTCCTGTCTCCTGGATGTCAGCCTCGTGGATTGCAGTCACACCATCATGTTAAGCAGTCTAATACTGCCAATTAATCTAATTATACACCATATCAGTTTTTGTCTGATGCAGCATGGTTTCAGAGGTATTAAAATGTAAAAACAAACAAACAAACAAAAAAGCCTAAAATCCACGAAATACAGCTTCATCAACAGTAGGCATAGGTTTGCAGGTTTGCTGTGAAGATAAGTCTCAGGCTGGACCAAGCTCAGTGCAGAGCGCAGAGGGCCTGGCTCGATCCCAGGTTAGAGGGTCTCCCTCCTCTTTTTTCTTTTAAACTAAGAACTAAGGGCTGAGCTCTCAATTTATAAGAAAAGCTCTGAGAGCCACTCAGTGTCCTGGGTAAGGCCCAGATGAGGATCTTCAATGTCAGATCTGCTGTTTGCAGCCCTCACGAACACACACACACACACACACACACACACACGTGTCTGCAACCTGCTGAGTTTTCACAACAGAGCACCCCTGGGAAACAGACACCCCACCAGTAACTTATCTCTGTTTTCCCAGCTATTATTTCTCTCCCATCGCATTCTCCCAGGTCACCTGTGCATCTCGGTGGCCAGAGCTCCTGCCCATTCCTTCCTGGCTCAGCCTCGGCATTGGCTACAGACAGGCTCCTGGCTGCTCTGCCAGCCTGCAGCCTCCGTGCCCTCCCACCTGCCCTTTCCACCATCGAAGTGAGCCCATAAATGTGGAGCAGTGTGTGTCTTCTGCTCCAGTGTGTTCCCTGGCCTCCCTTTGTCAATACACAGGACCTTTTATTATCTGATCACCAGCTGCCTTCCAGGCCCATCTTCAGATCCTCAGTGCACACAGGCCGCCCAAACCTAGCCCACTGGACCCTCATATACTCTACCATCACGCTCCGCCCAACCTCACTGATTTTCACTGGGTCTGGTATTCTCTTACCTTTCTTAACTCTGAACTTCACCCCTCCCCACACTTAACAAACTCTACACATCCTTTTCATGATTTCTTCTGAGAAAACGTCCCAGTCCCCCAACAGTCATAATGTAATTATTTTCTGGGTTCCCCTAACAATTTGTGTGTAAAGGTAATAGTATATTTTGGTTCATGTGATTTTGCCTGCCACTGGGCTCTAAGTGCCCCTATAGAGATGGTGTCATCCTCTGTCTGTGGGTCTCAGACCCTGACTCTGTGAATAAGAGCTGGATGGCCAGGGGCTAGGACAGACGGACGGGTGGGTAGAGGAGAGGGTTATACAGGAACTTGAGTAGTGGAAAGGAGGAACTGGGGTTATCACTGGTTGCTGGGATAGAAGGATGGATGGATGGATGGGTGGATGGATGGGTGGATGGATGGGTGGATGGACGGATGGATGGGTGGATGGGTGGATGGGTAGATGGATGGGTGGGTGAGTGGATGGGTGGACAGATGGATAGGTAGATGGATGGATGGGTAGGTGGGTGGACGGATGAGTGGACAGATGGATGGATAGATGGGTGATGGATGGATGGGTAGGTGGGTGGATGAGTGGATGGGTGAATAGGTGGAGGCAAATGAGGAAAGAGCAGGGATGAATGGACCCTTCATAGGAGTCATTTCACTGAATGGGAGAAGCAGGGCTAAGTTGATGGAGATCAGGGACGATTGGGTGGCTCTCAACTCCTTGTATAATTTTCACTAGACCCTGAGAGAAGGTGATGCTTAGAGTGACAGAGGTTCTTGCTTTAGTCCTCCAGAGTATGTGGATCTGAGCAGATCACAAAGCCCAAACAGTCAGGCCCCAGATCACCCCACTACCTCACCTGCTCCTCCTGCTCCACCTGTAGACCCACAAGATGATCCCTCAGAAAGGAGTGGTCAGAGCTACCCTGTGCCTTGGCCCTGGATGATCCACGTGGACCAGATATCAACAGTATGATACGGAGACCAAAGTCGTCTTGTGTCTGAGTCAAGTCCTGGTCTCCAGAGCATCTGGTGCAATAGGCCAACTGTGTGCAGTAGGTGAACAGGCCTGGGACAGGTCAGCTGCCTTGTTTAGGGCAGAGAGACAGCTGCCAATGGAAGCCCTGTGCCACTCTGCAGAGATGCCATCTGGGGCAAAACTCAAACATGGGTAACAGATCAGGATTTCTGGAGAAGAGATCAGGATCTCCTAACCCCCATTTTGATGGTTATGTGAGGATGGGCTTACAAGGAGTCTCATCCCCAAACGTGACCTGCTACCTGCACATAACTTGGGCAGGAGTCAGGTCAGGAGATGGGAGCCCCCTGCATTGAATGACTGTCAAACCCCGTGGCTAAGACACCAGGCTTCGTTTCCCACAGGCCTGTGCTGAAACCTCAGTTATGCCCCTTGCTGCCCATGTGCTACTGGAAAAGAAAATCCCACTAAATCTTAGGGTATTCACCTGCAAAGTGTGGACGATCATAGTCCTGGCTCACAGGCTCAAGGGAAGGATTGGATGAGTTAATAGATTGCAAGTAATTCCCATAGTACCCAGAACATAAAAAGAAGTTAATAAATAAAGCAAGTGTTTTATAAAATACAATCTGCTACTACTTTTATGTGAAAAGGGGTAGTGGCCAAGCATTATGCTGATATCAAAGCCAGACAGAGACACTGAAAGAAAACTACAGACCAGTAACCCTGATGAACCCTGATACAAAAGTTTCAGCAAAGTGCTGGAAAAAACCTAACTCAGCAGCACAATAAACGGA